ATAATTCACATGTTGTGTTAAGAGCAAACTTTATGTTATGCAGATAAATCAGACCCATCTTACGCATGAGGCAATGATAATGTGAGATGATACTGTGTATTATTTGTCATAAAGTGTGTCATGAGGTGAGATATGGATCTTAATGTAAAGTGTTTTGCTAGGTTTAATCTGGTGTTGACATTGATGGTGTTTTATTGGATGATGAATATGAGCTGGGCATGGACACAAATGGGCAAGTGAGTCCAAGTCAAGATAGAGTTACACCTGTGGATGAATTCTCTTCTCCAGAGACAGAGAAACAGAACAAGAAGAGTGAGAAGGAATCGAACAGAGAAAGAGAACATAAATGAAAAGAGTATCTGTCCATCAGTCTATCTATTTAGATCTTTCTGTGTAAATCAAGATAATATGGATAGAACGGATGGCACTGATGAAGGGTTTTACCCAAAAAAGTTTTGCGCACCTTTTTTTGCCATATATTTGTGGGATCTGGACAGCACATTTATGTGAGCTTGTTGGTCTATTTCTTGTCTTTTGTCATTTTTTGATAATCAAGATAATCTGAAATATTAAAATTAAGATCGATCTATCTACACCTCTATGAACACCTTGGCAATAGTATCGTCATTGGCTAGTACATTTTTGGTTACTCGCCAGACTGAGAGAGAGAGAGTGAGAGAGAGAGAGAGAGAGAGAGAGAGAGAGAGAGAGAGAGAGAGAGAGAGAGAGAGAGAGAGAGAGTCAGACCTTCACCTCTAATCGAATTCCGCCATTGGATCGATTTTGTTGGCCTTACACCAGCGAATCATGGAGTAGTTGTGTCATCAGAGCTTGTGCATCTGCTTTTTAGAAGCTTCGCTGGCTGAGTTCTCTGGCTACGCTCGAAACGCTTTCGCGGTACTTTGATGGCATACGTGGCGTCGGCGCTGCATCAAGTCTGACAAAATTTCTAACCGGCATGCACAGTTTCAAGTCAGCCGCCGATCGGTCTGTGCAGAGCTGCATGAAGTCAAACACGCCTAAACAATCTGACACCTGTCTCCACAGTGACAACTAGTGGTCAGAACAGTGTAAATGCAACAAAAACTCGGGCGGGACATGCATAAAAACACCTTTTACAATCTATTGCAATTTTTATATAAGTAAAACCTTTCAAAGGCAATTATCTAATCCGATTATCAAGTGTCTATATGTTATTTTATCAATTGTCAGGGTTTGTTTTGTATGGCTCAACCATAGACAGCAAAAGAAATGGACACAGCGACCCCATTGATTTCAGTGGAGAAGACTGAAGCCCAATTATTACACTTCCTGTCTGATGTCAGAGCGACAGCGTAGGCTCAAACTGAGCTTGACGACAGTCTGACAGTTGTAAATCTTCTAGTAGCTGTGCCATGACAAATCTGAATCACCTAATTCCTCAAAAACTTTGTTGAAATATTTTGTCCCGTTGCTTTTATGGAATTTCTATTTATGGGCTTCTACCTTGACTTTATGCCTCCATGTCCCCCCGATTGCCCCACAGACAGTAAAAGATTACCTGCGAGCTTCTCCTCCAGTCTATATGGTAATGTCTCTATTGTGCGACAGAAAGTCCTGTGGTTATTATGACGCAATTGTTAGCCTATTTTTACAAAACGGCTTCTACGGGGCCGTAATGTAAGATACAAAGTTATGGAGCATTTTATACATTGTCGTGTTTCTGGATGTTTTTGGATGCCTCAGATGTAAAGTTATTTGCTGTCAAAGTGACACCAAAATGAATGGGAGTCAATGGAATGCTAACAGCAGGTGAAGTTCTGTTACAATGGTGGCTCTCGCGAGGCTTCAACTTCCGGCTGATGGATTACCCTCTTGGGCTCAGCAAAACAGGCCATGATGGAAAAAGTCATGATGTTATGAAGTTACTGATATCACGTGACTGGCAGCTTGATACACGCTCCGAAACATTGACTCGGAACAAACGATTGGTAAAGGTGTTTTGAAATTGCCATCACTGCAAATCTTCTGCTTGTGCTTGTTCTTAAAAGCTGAATAATTCCAAATGAACTGACAAGAAAATACAAAAAAATATCGTTTACATGTAGCGTGTCTCTTCTGAGTGGTAAGGCTCAATCCCAATTCACCCCTTGGCCCTACCACTTGTTTTCGAGTGTACCCCTTGGCCCTTAAAACAGAGTTACAAAGGCCAAGGGGTTGAAATATTCCCCTATGAAATGGAACAACCCTTCATGAACTCTGCCGTTATGGAGTTTTTACAGGATTTCTCCAACTTTAACTTTGAGGAAACATGATGATTATTACATTCCTTCCTCGAAATGTATGTATTTTCTGATTTGAAAAGGTAATTTATTATACCATTTCTTAATTTAAATGACTATAATGACTATAATGAAGTGGTGTCATCTGGCGCTAAATTTAAGTGTTTAACCGTTTGCAAAGCCATCTCGCCGGTGATTTGCGATGCATTCTGTGAACTTTCAGGCTACTGTATGTAGCCCTATCCCTTCACCCTACCCCTCGATCTTATCCTTGCTGAACTTGCTACTTGGCCTCAAGAATTTATCAGCCAATAGCTAATGATAGACATTATTTTGTCACCCAGAGTGATAATTTAGTCGCGTACGAGTGATTTACTCGGCCTCTATCTATCTATCTATCTATCTATCTATCTATCTATCTATCTATCTATCTATCTATCTATCTATCTATCTATCTATCTATCTATCTATCTATCTATCTATCTATCTATCTATCTATCATGTCTGTCTGTTGACATGACTAGAACAACAAAACTTGTTCAAGGCAAAATTGAACCTTTGCTTTTCTAGAATTACTATCTTTGAGTTTCTTTGATATTCAATTAATGGTAATTCCAATTCATTACATGCAAATTTGAGTTGCAAGTGAGGTTTTCACTACGCACATAGAGTGTTTGTGAAGCAGAGCAGAAGTTTGAGTCGTAGGCTAGTGTTTAGTTAAATAAGGGTCTGTTTTTTGTTTCACCCCCTCAGGGTTTATCAGCAGTTATTTGAGTAATAACAGTCACGTGTAATTTGTATTATTGCGGCCTTCCTCTTCTTCCTCTGCAATTTCAGAATTGTTTATCCTGCTTTAACTTATCCAGATTAGTGGTTCTCATGGACCCAGTGGTTGTATTGGGTCAAATTCTGCCCTCTATTAGCTGGTGTGCTATTAAGACATCTGTAATAATCAGTAGGTTTAACCAAACAGAGACCACATAAATGCTGTTTATCCCCTGCGTGCGGTTTTAAAGAGCGACCTTTCCTCAGTGAAAAGGGTACCTGTTCACTGAGCAAATGGCCTTAGCAAATACTCTGACACACTTTCCCTGAGACTTTATTTATTTACAAATGTCACCGTCACTGGGGCGTAATGTGTTGCATCAGGCGGAGGGCTCTTTAGAAAAACGCTCCTCATCAATCCAGAGGATTTAGATGGGGGCTGCAGAGAGGAGGAGGAGGAGGTGGTAAATCACTCCATAAGAACACTATCTTTTTTCATTTTAGACTTAAGGCTACGTATAAATTAATTTCTATAAAATGTAGAATTTACTTTTTTTAAGGGCTTACTCAAACTATTAAACACAAATTGTGCATTCTCCGTTTTTTTGTTTTGTTTTTTGGACTAAAACCAGTTGAAACTTTTTTTTTTTTTAAATGACCGCTTTTCTGATTGGCTAACCTCTTTGCATGTGAAATGAGTGATTGACATTCACAGCTCTGTGCTGCTGTAGTTGTTTGGACATCTTTTGCGTGCTGTGCAGTATGTGAGGTAGAGCGGATCCCTCTCACCGCTTAAGGATTACAGTCAGCCTGCAGGAAAATATTTATGAAACATGACTCCATTAATCTTACACCAACACTGCACTGTCACTATAAATCAAAACACACATCCCACTCCACCTCATACACAGCGGCTAAGGATATACCTTGGTCATATTCTCATTCTTTACTTTTTCTTTGAACGAATACAGTTAACATTGACTTCTGAGAGGGTGAAAGGCAAACAAGGCAATTAAACCACTTAAGATCTGTATGCCAGTAACTTTCATGTGCGCTGATATGTCAAACATGCTGTGCTCAGCTTTTCTTAATGCGAATATCCTGGAAGTATTGAAGTGATTGTATGTGTGTGTGTGTGTGCGTGTCTAATTTTTATTATACATATTTAAATCTATAAACATATTTATATATTGTGAAGTCATGTTTTAAATTCTGATTTTGTTCATTTCAGTTCTCTGATGTCACTGTGATCAAATATATCTGAGTCAGTATTTTGATAATTTTGCTTTTAATTCATGAAATGTAGAATTGAAATGTAGAACATGGTTTGCAACACTTTATTAAATTAGCCTTAGCCATGTATATATTTTCCTCAATGTGAAAATGCAGCAGAGGTGATTAAAATTTAATAGCCGACGATGGCAAAACCTGATTTACCCTGGAATGTAGATCATAGCAGGAAAAACACAGTATGCAACCCTCTGCATGAGGGTTGAGAGAGACTAGCATAGGAAATTAAATAGATGTTTTGATGACCCATTCCCCTTGGCATACACACACATATTCATACATACTCCAGAAATGAAAATGAAAACCATCAATACAGCGATCGAGGGCAAACGTTGTTCTGCCGGTAATGCTGTGTAAGACATGGATGTGTTTTTATTGATACATCTGATTTACAAAACAGTCTTTCCCTCGTAATGGGTTCCCAGCATTGGGTTTCGATGCTGGATGAACGAGGGCATTGTTGGAAATGATTTAAACCGTGGGGCTAGACTCCCGTCCCTTAGGCTACGGATCTGATTGCCTGCAACTGCTCTGTGATTTACTTGCCAAATATGCAATCTCATCAAACTAGCTTGTTTTGCTCACTGTGTCATGAGGTTGAGTGAACTTTAACAAATCATTACTTTTTTTTCTCTCTCCCTGTGTGCTCTTTTTCTTTCTCTACTCCTTTCTTTCTCTCTCTAGTTACATTGCTGGACACTATGTCTGCTCTGGGAGACCTTGGCTGGGAGGCCTACCCAGCTGAAGGGGTGAGTAACACAACCAATCAAAATCAAGACACAAATACACAAGCCCCCACAAACGTCTTTAATCAAATTTGACTCTTGTAACCAGCCAAAATTATGGTGCATTTTGTCTCGGCGCTTGTTTTACACAAAATGATTTGAACTGTGTTGGGACAACTTCTTTCTTTTTTTAAATTAAAATGAGTCTGGGCTCTTGGGCTCCGACACACTTTTGAACTCTTCTAATTTTTTTTTTTCTATTTTAAACCATTTGAATATTTTTTCCTTTTTTTTATTAAAACATGCACTTTTCTTTTAGCAGAACTCTAAAATATTAGTCCACAGTTATACTATACATTATAAGGTTATGACATCATTTTAAGCATAACATCACTGCTTTGACCATTGATTTTTTTCTTGATGAAATGTAGTGATTTAGGATTTTTGTAGGCCAATCCAGATGTAAGAATTAACAGGTTCCTTCAACAAAAGCCAGTAGTTTTTTTTTTTACATAAATTAAGCCAGAGACTTTATATAGGAAGATGGTGCACTCGCATTACTTATGAATGGGAGAAAGTGCAACGCCCAAAATGAGCAAATCGTTGACTAGCAAAGTCATTGCGTCACACCAGCTTTCCTTTAGAAGCTTCTGTAGTTATGAGAAACAGACTGTGTTTAGATGCTCGCTTATGACTGTGTATGCGCTTTAGCTTTGTCCATGCTGCAAAATTCAGGTTTTTTTTTGTTATGACTCAAAATGTATGAAACAGTTGTTGTCAGATTTTATTAGTGGTGCACGATATATCGGGCGCTGATATAGCAACGGTCGATATGGTAAATTTTTTACACATCGGTATCATTCCGATGTCAAAATAGGGCCGATGTGAACAGGCCAATCATCATTCCTGTGTATTTGACGTGTGTGTAGATGTGAGTGTGGGGGCGGGGATGTTTGTTTTTGCATGAACGCAATCTAGAAATACGAATAAAATAATAAAACTGTAAATCTATGAATAAAACATAAAACTAATACTTTTTAGTCGTCTGTTGCAGAAAAGCAACAAGAACAACTAAAACAAAGTAAAAACAATTTACAGGCCTGAGTGTCTATTTATAAAATGTTTGCAGTGTTGAGCGATGTAGCCAATCACAGACACATGTGTTGATTTCTAGGAATGGAATGGCCAAGAAGCATTTACGATAGACTTTCCTCATTGCTCAAAACTGACTTTTTGTTCAGTGATGAATTCTATATGAAGAGTTCAGATGCAAAAGCCTCTAAATGCCATTTGAAATTTTCTTCTAGAATGATCATTTTTATCAAGCTTGTATATTTAAGTTTAGTAATTTCACGTAAATGGCAATTAATAGGTAATCTTTATTGCCCTTTAAGTGAAATTACTGAACTTAAATATACAAGCTTGATAAAAATCATCATTAAAGAAGAAAATTTCAAATGGCACTTAGAGGCTTTTGCATCTGAACTCTTCATATGCTGGCAAATCGTCGAATTTTAACAAAGTGTAGATATTATGAAAGATTCAGTGATAATAAGATGTGTGAGATCGCGATGAACTGATGTCAGCCTGCTTGTTTTTAATGTTATAACAGTGTGGTTTGTGTGTTAATGCTTTAATAACAAATAATTTACCAGGAGCATTTATGCAGATGTGTATGGTGGCGACACGTGGGCTAACTTGAAAGTATTTGGAGGTATGCAGAAAAAAGTCTTTTTGCGGTGGGAGCGGGACAAAACATAAATGTTGCGGGCGTGAGAAAGTAATATAGAAAGTAGTTGAGAACGTCAGTTAAAATAATGACCCACATATTAAAAAATGGTCAGGTTTAAATCGGGCTCAGGCTCATAATTAATTTTAATGTGTTGGGCTTAGACACAACGTGCTCGTGTAGGGTCGGGCTTGCATACCCAAGCTCTACCTCGGGTATGCTAACACTTAAAGGCACGAACCAGTCGTTTTTCCTTGGGGAAATTGTGGAGCCTCTCCCCTGTTTTTGATGTATTCGTACATCCCGCACAAACACCATATTTAACCATTTTTGATAGCTAGGTCTCTAATATAACTGCTAGCCTACTTACCGTTTAGACTAATGGTAACTAGGCTTGGAGAAAAGACCAGGCATATACAAAGCTTGGAGTACCTTTTATGACGCCAAGGTATAAGCTCTGTTGATTCTTACACATTTTATTCTTTAAGTAATCTTCAGTGATTCTTTTACACAAAATGATTTGAACTGTAGAGGGACACCTTTAAAAAATAAATAAATAAATAAATCCCCCTGCCAACAATTATCGGTAATCACGCCATCACATCTTAAATGTGCTGGAATTGCACATGGTTCGACCCAACCTGGGCATGCATATGTATAAGAGTGGATACAGCATTGAGCTAATGGGAAAGGAAGGCTGAAAGCACGTTCTCATGTTCTTATAAATAGGAGCCACTGTTTTTTTTGCATGTGCAAATTGTAGGATGTGGTGTGAAGGTCATTTGTGAAGTCTAGCGAGCTTAATACTCGTTTTCAGCCAAGAGGTATTCATGTTCGGCTTAACACCAACTTACCCGGTCGCTTACTTCCAATTTATTTGAGGAAGACGTCAAGATTAAGAGTCTCTAAAGCCGGAACACAATCCCCTGTGCCAGAGAACCGAAGAAGGAGCCGTTTATTTTAAGGAGGCCTGTTCTGTCTTTTTTGATGCACCCAAAGTGGTCTAAAAATAATCAGGTTTGCAAAAACCATGGTGAACTTAAAAGAAAATCAATCTCAGGGATTTCACAGCTGCCTTTTAAATGATTTAATAGAGACGTCAGAAGCTAGATCGGATCGTGTAGCAGCTTAATCTAGAGGTGAACGGAATTTACGAATGATTATATAATCAGAGAAATGATTCTTCCGGATTAATCCGGAATTCCGGTTATTTCAGCCTAAAATCATGACCCATGTGAATCATGCAGATCAGTAATAAAAATAAAATGTTTGGAAGTTCTGGGAAAGTCATTGTAATTTGTTTCAAAATATTTATAAAAAAAGAAAATGTTTCTATAATATTAGTTAAACAAACTACAATACTTAATGTTCATTCGATCCATCCCACTACGGCATTTCCATCAGATTTCGTTTTTCTGCGTTGATGATTTTAACCAATTGCACACTTTTATAGTTAATGAGCTTGATGACCAATCAGACGCGTTCAGATTAGTCATCACTGAAACGAATAGTTTTGTTCAGTGCGCTGACTGAATTCTTCTGATCATAAACAACAAAGTGCAGATTTGATGTAAGAGATTCATCGAGACACGCTTGATTCCTGTTGGTTCCATAGTGAGTGGCACGGCCAGAGAAATGTTGGGCGCTGCGGCATATTATATATTAGAAATAGTTTTTTAGCGTGAGAAATACAATGAGTGGCGGAAGAGCATGAAAGACCGAAATGAGTGACTGTCACGCTCAATGCGTGACACTTGAGATCCCTGCAACTACTTTCTATGTTATTTTCTCCTGCCCACAAATAGACATTTTTTCTGTACCTCCAAATAGTTTCAAGTTAGCCTACGTGTCGCCACCATACGCATCAGCATAAATGCTCCTAATAAATTATTTGCTATTAACCCTTTGATGCACAACATGGGTCTAAATAGACCCGACTGAGTTTTTATTTTCTATATCTTTGCAAGAAATTAATTTCATCACTCAGTATTCCAGGTATTCCTCAATTAACTTGTTTTTGATCATCACAAATCCTTATTTTTATTTTTCATTTCTTACTTTTTGAATAAAAATAGTTTTTGTATAGCAACCCTTCTAATGCGCAACATGGGTCTAAAAAGACCCGTATTCATTTCCTATGGTATTTCAGTGATGGCTGAGTGTTTTCTTTGCCGAATCTTTAAAATATATGTATTTTATCATTTCTTATTCCAGATATTCATTAAATAACTTGTTTTTGATTTCCACAAATCATTGGGTTTATGTTTCCTTTCTTACTTTATAAACAAACACAGTTTTTGTATTTCTACATCAATTTTACATACATGGGTCTAAAAAGACCCGTATTCATTTCCTATGGTATTTCAGTGATGGCTGAGTGTTTCCTTGCTGAATCTTTAAAATATATGTGTTTTTTATCATTTCTTTTTCCAGGTATTCATTAAATATCTAATATCTTGTTTTTGATTTCCACAACTCATTATGTTTATGTTTCCTTTCTTACTTTATAAACAAACACAGTTTTTGTATTTATACATCAATTTTACATACATGGGTCTAAAATGACCCATATTCATTTGCTATGTTATTTCAGTGATGGCTGAGTGTTTCTTTGCTGAATCTTTAATTTAAAATATGTTTTTTTTTTAATCATTTCTTATTCCAGGTATTCATTAAATATCTTGTTTTTAATTTCCACAAATCATTATGTTATGTTTTTTTTTAATTTATTTCTACATCAATTTTACATACATGGGTCAAAATTTTTTATTAATCTTATTTTATTTTAACCACAGACATTTATATATATATATATATATATATATATATTGTAAAAGATAACAACATAATATCTCAATATTAGGCTATGGTTACCTTGACCTTGTAATCCTAGTGAGAAATCCTAGTGAGAAGGAGAAACATGTCCAATACTATTAGCTAGCTAGCTGTTGACATATTCTAGCTAGCTAATGTTAACTACACAAAAAATATTGTTTTTTAAAGCTTATTTACATTTAGTAGGCCTAACAGTTCATAATCATTCATATGCTGAAATAATTCTTATACCTGAAATCATTCTATGATTGAAATGATTCCCGGCTGCCAAAGACAGAAAAGTCAACAACTGGTGTTCCCAGAGCAACAGGCCTGTGTGCAAGGAGCACAAACATGTAGTTGTCATTTGTGAGGCATGTAAGCACTAAGATGGCAATTTGAGATGCCGCTGTACCAGTGTGATTTTATTTTTTCTGTTTTTTTTTTCTTTTATTTGATCACATTCACCACAATTCAATAC